TATTATTCGGTTTTCCTATCTATTCAGATATGACAGTGTATTTACAGAAATAGGACATGGGAGATAATATCACAATGACTGGAGATTTAATAACTTATAACTAAAATAGCATCACTTCTGGGTTAACCTGCTGCTTAATCTGAACCAAGGATTGGACTGACTAAATTGTTGGGAGATCAGTGGAGATAGTATCCGTTTTCCCCATGGCTCTTTTTGGTGCCTGGATCAGACTTTCTCTTGGACCAACAGACTCTAACACCTCTTCTGGAATCGATTCCAACCGATGATGAGCTACATCTGGCCTGTGAAATGAAAATAGCAAAACCTTTGATTCAGTCCAAGTTAAGTGGATCTACATCATCTGCTCAGTCAACTTTTGCCAAGATGAATGATGCTGTGTCAGTGTTCCATAATTTCAGAGGTGGATTTCCCCTTTTTAACAACAAAGTGTTTTCCTTTACATAGGCAATGAAAGAAAAAAAAACTGCTGTGTGTGAAAATGCATTTTGGCTCCTCTATATATTTGGAAACAAAACCCCTAAGATAATCCTATTTTAGCCTTTTTTCTTTCTCTTGGATCTCTGCCATCCTGGCCCTTATCAAGTTGCACAAGGGGGCACTGTAGCCGTGAAAGTTCTGGAGAAGTGTTTCCTTTCCTTGTTTCCTAGTATCAGAAGAATGTTAACAGGAAGAAGAATGTGATGGGAAAGGAGAGAGCCAATAACTTTCAGAGCTGTGAGTGCTCCCCAGTTGTTTTAACTCCCAGCTCAGATTCAAAAGTATTTACTCCAGAAGGAACACAATGGTGGGTATAAGCAGAGGGAGAAAGACAAGAACCTTGAGGTTTATTTTACGTTTGTCTGGTTTCCCACGTAAAAGAACAATAAATATAGAAAGGGGAACGAGCCCAAAATGGGGATATTTTTGAAACTTGGAAAATCACTCAGCTGTGGGTCTAGTGGCTGTGGTGGAGGCTGCAGTTCAAATCCCAATGTCTGCAGCCCGTTCCCTGCCTAACTGATCTCAATGAGGAGAGAGGGAGGTTGGAGATTTTGATGTTAGGGTTGCTAAAGCATCATAATAAGAGTGTTTGGGATGATTTAATAGAATGTGTTGTGGTGTCCAGATTACTGGTACAACACCTATACCCTTAGGTCCTGCCAACCTATGATACAAACGATGTCACATTTACGTTAATTTCCAAGTTCTGTCTGCATGTTGACCCCATTATACTAATTTTAGGATCCCATCTCTGTAGAATTGATCTAGTTTATTTATGGGATATTGGGCATATCCATATTAATTTCTATTGTCAAGGCGTGATCTAGGTTTTTACTTTCTGGTTTTGTGTTCTTGTATATTCTTTAAAAGCCTCTAATGCCATTTTTCTCATCTCTTCCTCCTCAATTAACTTTATCATTAGCCAGAATACAAGGGATTCTTCAGTTGTCTTGTTAAGACTGAGCTGTCACAGTAACATTTAACTCCAAGTAGCTCCTTCTGTCAGTTGCATTAATTTAACTGAGTTCACTTGTATCCATTTTCTTAACCCCTCTCTGTACTGCAATAAATCATCTAACAACAAATGAGTAAAAGTAGACCTGAGCAGTCAATGGATGGAGCTTCAAAGGAAACTAGCTAGTGAGCTATAGGGGCTGAGATTAATCAGGGCTTGGAAAATTAAAAAAATATGTAAAATATATAAATTATATGTATATAAACTATAACATATTGCTAAATGTATATACATATTACATAAATTTATTTTTAAAGAAATGATTAAGTTGAAGAAATGCAAAAATCATTGGGGCCAATAAAAAGCAAAATTGTCAGTGCTGAAAATAGACCCAGTAATGTGGAGGATAAATTGAAAAGCTTTTTCAGAACTCAGAGAAGTCCCAAAAAAAGAAATGATGGGATAATTTTTTAAGACACAGCCTGGAAATTCAATAGACAAATAATGTTTCTGAAGAAGAAAAGATGGACTAAATATTAGTAACTATCGCCTCACATTGGAAGTTTTCTGAGCTAAAGGAAAGTCCTTTCTGAGCACGTGGAAAGTCCCTATCATGAAACAGGTAAAATTAATGAGAAGTGACATATACCAAAATATTTCCTACTGAAATTTTTGAATTGCAAGGAAAGTGAAAATATTCTCTAAGGACTCTTGCAGTCAAAAGAGTTTATCTATAGAACAACTAAATCAAGTTAGCCTCAAACCTCATCCGCAAAGCATGGGTGGAAAGAAAATCAATAGATATTTATAGTAGAGTGCTGGTTGGGAAAAGTTAACTCTATAAACTAAATGAATATATGTGGCAGCAAAGACTTTATCAGGTATACATAAATTCAGAGAATAAACATCCACATACTCTTCTTAAAATTTTATGTGAAGGTACCCTCCAATACCCAAATATAAATAAAAATTGAAGAATAAAAATAGTTGTAGCAAATAAAAAAGCCTCAGAAGTGGATGTAAAAACAGTTAAACAGGTTGTATAAATAATTATTGTAAATATAATTTAAAACAATTCAAAAGTTAAATATATACTTTAAAGATAAAATATATATAATTATTTTAATAAATGAGAGCTTTTATTATTCATGTTAAGATGAAAGCAGAACTACAACCAAAGATACAGATAATATTAAAAATATTATGAGCATAATTTTAAAAATTTATTAAAATCAATTTTATTTTATTTTTTAATTTATATTTATATCTTTTTAATTGCAGTAACATTGGGTTATAACATTATAGAGCTGTTGGATGTACATCATAATATATTTCAAATTCTGTGTAGATCACATCATGTTCACCACCCAAAAACTAATTATAGTCCATCCCCTCACATGTGAGCCTAATCACCCCTTTTGCCCTCCCCTGCCTTCCCCCATGGTAACCACCAATCCATTGCTACATGTTTGTTTGTCATTGTCTTTATCTTCTACTTATGAGTGAGATCATAAGGTATTTGACTTTCTCCCTCTGACTAGTTTCACTCAGCATAATACCCTCAAGGACCGTCCGTGTTGTCACAAATGGCCGGATTTCATCATTCCTTATGGCTGAGTAGTATTCCATTGTGTATAAATACCATATCTTCTTTATCCATTCATCCCTTGATGGGCACCTAGGTTGCTTCGAAGTCTTGGCTATTGTGTATAATGCTGCAATGAACATAGGGGTGCAAGTATCTTTATGCCTTTGTGTTTTCAAGTTCTTTGGATAAATACCCAGCAGTGGGATAGCTGGATCATATGGTAGATCTATCCTTAATTTTCTGAGGATACTCCATACTGCTTTCCATAGTGGCTGCACCACTCTGCACTACCACCAGCAGTGTACAAGGGTTGCCTTCTCTCCACATCCTCTCCAACATTTGTTGTTTCCTGTCTTGTTAATTATATCCATTCTGATGGGACTGAGGTGATACCTCATTGTAGTTTTGATTTGCATTTCCCTGATAGCTAATGATGTTGAGCATCTTTTCATATGGCTGTTGGCCGTCCATATATCTTCTTTGGAGAAATCTCTGTTCAGATCTTTTGCCCGTTTTCTAATTGGATTGTTGTTTTTTTTGTTGTTGAGCTGTGTGAGTTCTTTGTATATTTTGGATATTAACCCCTTATCTGATATATGGTTTGCAAATATCTTCTCCCAATTGTTACGTTGTCTTTTCGTTTTGTTGATGGCTTCCTTTGCTGTGCATAAGCTTTTTAGTTTGATGTAGTCCTATTTGTTCACTTTTTCTTTTGTTTCCCTTGCCCAGTCAGACATGGGACTTGAAAATATGGTGCTCAGACTGATGTCAAAGAGCGTACTGCCTCTGTTTTCTTCCAGAAGTTTCATGGTTTCGGGTCTTACATTCAAGTCTTTAATCCATTTTGAGTTGATTTTTGTGCATGGTGTAAGGGAATGGTCTACTTTCATTCTTTCGCATGTGGCTGTCCAGTTTTCCCAACACCATTTATGGAAGAGACTCTCCTTTCTCCATCATATGCTCTTGGCTCCCCTGTCGAATATTAGCTGTCCATAAATGTGTGGGTTTATTTCTGGGCTCTCGATTCTGTTCCATTCATTTGTGTGTCTGCTTTTGTGCTATTACCATGCTGTTTTGGTTACTATGGCTTTGTAGTATATTTTGAAATCAGGGAGTGTGATACCTCCAGCTTTGTTCCTTTTTCTCAGGTGTCCTTTGGTTATTCAGGGTCTTTTGTTGTTCCATATAAGTTTTAGGATTGTTTGTTCTATTTCTGTGAAAAATTTTGTTGGAACTTTGATAGGGATTGCGTTGAATCTATAGATTGCTTTAGGAAGTATGGACATTTTAGCAATGTTAATTCTTCAAACTCTAAGTTTCGACAGTTCTTTTGTCCTTAAGTGCTCATATGTAAAATGAGAATTAAGAAGTAAGTAAATCATTGGAGTACTTTCTGGAGTTTAGTCAGAGCTCAATAAAAATTAGTATTTTTATTAATGATTATTCTTATTATATTTGTTTTACAAGAGAATTACATAAAATGAGAATAAAACTATCTAAATTGTGTATTATTTTACATCAGGCAAATAAACATACAGAGTAGCGGTAGCTGAAAACCACAAATTAACACAACGAGACACCACTAAACATTTTTTTCAATGGCCTAAATCCAGAGCATTGATACCACCAATTGTTGGTAAGGTTATGAAGCAACAGAAATTCTCATACGTTTCTGGTGGGAATGAAAAATGGTACAGCCACTTTAGAACACAATTTGGCGGTCTCTTACAAAACTAAACAACTTTTATCAAAGGATCCAGCAATGGCACTCCTTGGTGTTTACCCAAAGGGGTTGAAAACTATGTTTGTACAAAAACCTGCACAAGGATGTGTATAGCAGCTTTGTTTATGATTGCCAAAACTTGGAAGCAACTAAGATTTCCTTTAGTAGGTAAATAAATAAACTGTGGTACATCCAGATAATGGGGTATTATTCAGTACTAAAAAGAAATGAACTATCAAGCATGTAAAGACATGGAGGAACCGTCAATGCATATTACTAAGTGGAAGAAGCCAATCTGAAAGGGCTGCATCAGTATGCATTCCAGCTATGTGACATTCTGGAAAAGGTAAAACTATGGAGACAATAAAATGATCAGTGGTTGCCACAGGGAACCAGGCAGTAGAGATGAATAAGCAAAGCACAAAGGATTTTTATGGCATAAATACTCCATATGATATTATAATGATGGATATATATCATTATGCATTTTTCTAAACCCACAGAATATACAACACCAAGAGTGAACCCTAATATAAACTATGAACTTTCAACAATTATAGTGTATAGGTTCATCTTTGGTAAAAAAAAAATAAGTATCATTCTGGAGACTGACGTTGATAAAGGGGAAGTTATGCATGTATGGGACAGGGGGTATGTGGGAAATATCTGTACCTCTTTCTTAATTTTGTTGTAAACCTAAAACAGCTCTTAAAAATTAAATTTTAAAAACAAATTTTAAGAGTAGTGGTAGAAATATTTTATTAGAGAAGCGGAGTGGCCTGGTATAGTGGTCCTTGGAGCTGTTTGGGTTTCCCAGGGCCACTTCTGAGACAATTATGAACCTGAAAGACAAAAGGATATAGAAAGTAAAGGCATAGATATCAACAGCTTGTAGATAAGCGTTACATGAAAACAGTAATCTAAAAACAAAACAAAACCAAAAAATACCTCATTGACATAAGATCTGAAAAATTGTAGAAGTTAATTGACCTCTTCGAGGATCAGTTTTCTCATCTACAAAATGGGTTAATATTACCTAGGGTTATCTTGTGGATTTTCTTATATATTGAATGTAAAATATGGGATATAACACAGATACCCAATAACTACGGGCTTCCTACCCATCTCCTTACATCGAAGATTAAATAATTTACTTCTAACAGTGACCAGATTATATGCTTTAAATCATTCTCCCTCAACCTGTTATTCATATACATTGTTCCTGTATGCTCAAGAAAAAGTACATTTTCATTTTTGCCTAAACTAAAAGAAAAATGTCTGGCAAAACTAAATCACAAAAGCATATCAATGCCAAGCACGAACGGCTGTTAGATCATCCAGTTTGTGGTGGTCTCCATCCCTCGGCACGGAGGGTTGGGAATTGACTCTTTGCATAGTGCTGCCTACTGCATACAGATTTAGTCTTGAAGTTCTACGCCAGTGAAGCGTCTGGATACTCTTTCTTTTCAGAACAACATTCAAATACACTAAAAAAAATTCTCATTGCATCTGGTTTTATTGGTAGGGGAAAGGTCACATGCACATGTATATGTTGATCGTCAATATCCGTGCACCAAAGCACTGTGTGCAGGACACCAAGCACCGAGAAGTAATGAGGGGACCCCTCACCCTCTGCAACGGTGACACCCACTGATCTATACCTGACATTCTATGTACTGTGCATGTAACAGGTTGTGATGGTAGAAAGGATGAGAAAGGGAGAGAAATAGACATAGGAGAAAGATGAAAGAGGAATTTTACTATTTTTCCAAGAACTTCCCCATTTTCCCCCAAAAGAAAACCTTACTGCTTCAAATATAGACACATCAACCCTAATATTCATGCATATGTATATTCAGCTTGGAACATCAGCATGGAACCAGCCATCATTCCTACATTCGTGTGCGTGTGTAAATACTATCGTTTTTTCTTTTTTGGCAGTCCTTGTCAGTAAATTGTGAAGTTATTTTGCTATTTATGCTTTGCTAAAAAAGAAATCCCAGTTTTACAGAAGTCTTAGATACAAGCCCCTACATAAATGGGTGTTTATTAAATCTGCATTTGGAGTTTATTTGATTAACAAACATACATTATAATATTGAAATTTAAATAGTAGTGAAATAGGAATATCTAGTATTCAAGAAAGATTCATCAATGCAGGAAAAGCACAATGGAGAGTTAAAAGTGGTGCTAACAGGTACATGTTAGAGTTTTAATTTGGAAATTTCTCCATGGTATTTATCAGTAAAACAAGGATTAAAAATTCTTCATCATTTCTTCAGTGAGTTGCTGCTTTGCTTTTTGATTTGCTAATATGATATCTTTAGATGGAGTATTTATCTATATGACACCAAACATACAGATGAAAACCAAAACATTCAGTCAATCATTCAGCTATTTGTTAATATACACTTGGCATCACTTAGAAAAGAGTAATTAGAAATCATTAAGTAGATTTTTCTATTTTTATTTATATATTTGGCAATATTTAGGTATAGTCATCATTACAAGAAAAACTTGGTCTGACTATAATTGCCTTTTCTTTTATTTGGTATTTTGTACTCTATTAACGAAAGCTTTTGTTCCTGATATATTTTTCCTTATTGTTAAATTACGAGCTTCATTTCTTTTTTTTTTTTTTTTTGTGGAAGATTAGCCCTGAGCTAACTGCCACCAGTCCTCCTCTTTTTGCTGAGGAAGACTGGCCCTAAGCTAACATCCATGCCTATCTTCCTCTAATTTATATGTGGGGCACCTACCACAGCATGGCGTGCCAAGTGGTGCCATGTCGGCACCCGGATCCCAACCAGCAAACCCCGGGCACCCGAGAAGCAGAACGTGCACACTTAACCGCTGTGCCACCTGGCCGGCCCGCTTCATTTCTCTTTGACTGTTGAGCTCTGACCTAAATTTATTTCCATCAATGCTTTGATTCGTACTCTCATTTCAGCTTTCCTAAATAGGGAACATGAGTATATTTTCTACACATTTTATGACTTCATTTCTTATCTATTTCATTCATCCTTAAATAAATTGATGTGATTTAAATTCCTAAAATAAATATGAAATAAGACAGTCCAAAATTTAAAATTTCAATCAAGATTAAGAGACATTAGACTAAGGGGAGTGAGAAATGAATCAGGGGTCTGGGATGAGTGAGTCACTACACCTGGGTGCCAAGTTCCCTAAGAACGGAAGATAAAATCAAAGACTAAGTTGAGGGTAAGGAATTGGATGATATTGTTTGAAAAACAAAAGACGTCCTACAAGTCCATTTAGGGCAGTGGTACTCAACCTTTTGTTTTTCTGCCTTAACACAACAAAGGGCTTCAACAGGCTCTCACCCTCACCAGTTACTATGTTTATTACAGAAGGATGAGCGTCCCCCCCCCCAGCCCACCTCCAACCCCTCCACAGGAAAGATTAATGATTCAGCAAAAAAACTCATCTGGGGGGCTGGCCCTGTGGCCGAGTGGTTAAGTTCGCGCGCTCCGCTGCAGGCGGCCCAGTGTTTCGTTGGTTCGAGTCCTGGGCGCAGACGTGGCACTGCTCATCAGACCATGCTGAGGCAGCATCCCACATGCCACAACTAGGTGGACCCACAACGAAGAATATACAACTATGTAACGGCGGGGGGCTTTGGGGAGAAAAAGGAAAAAAAGTAAAAATTAAAATTAAAAAAAATCTTTAAATAAAGAAAATAAATAAATAAAAAATAAAAAAACTCATCTGGGCACTCACTTCTCTATGGAATTCAATGCACACGTTAGTACTGTCCAAATATTTTTTCTATGCTTTCTGATAGTTTAATTCGACACAAGGACAAAGCTTAAAGGAGATAATACCTGTCATATGTCAAACATTTCCTCTGTGCCAGACCAGCTGAGCATTTTCCGTGCATTGTCCCATTTGTTTTCCACAATGTGTTCATGAGCGATTAACCCTATTTTGTAGGTGAGGAAACTAAGATTTTGAAGAGATCAAGTAACAGGCCTAAGGTCACAGGCTGGAAGCTGGTAAATGGCAGAGCTAGTGCACAAACCCTGGGTGGCTGACTGTGCATAAGACTCTGCTGTGTATTAGAACCTCCTGGGCTCCAACTCCAGAGATTCTGACTCTGCAGGTATGAAGAGGGGCCTTGGAGTGTGTGTTTTACAGCATGTCTGGGGATTCTTGTGCATGGTGGAAGTAGGGCCAATACTTAAGCATATTGACTCCCAGCCCTTGCTTTTTCCCACTCTGGAAAGATCACTCTTCACCCAAAGGACCCCACAGTTGTTTCAGTGTGTTTCCTAAGGCAAGTATGAAAATTCTTCCACATAGAAATCATGCCTTTTATTGACTTCACTGAGATTTTTAAAAACATTTTGATAATAATAGTACTAGCTGCTACTTAGAAAGATCTCTTAAGCGCAATAACATTCTAAGTGTTTTATATCAATTGTATCCTCAAACAGCCTCTCACTTAGGTACTATCATCATCTCTACTTCTCAGATTAGGAAATAGGGAAGAATTAGAATTTGAAGAATAGTTTGGCTTCAGAGGCTATGCTTTTATATCAGTAGATAACACTGCTTCTGGGAGTTATTTGGCTGGAAAACAAGTAGACTGTCAGGACATTATGGAACGGATAAGCTTTCCTTTGAGGTATGCTTGGTGATGCAGTGATGGCTACCGGAATGGGCCAGCAGGCAGTTGAACAGACCGTCGTTCAGAGGGTGCTTCAAGGCTGAGTTCAGGAGCAACCACAGGGAAATAGCACAGCAGCCTGCAGACACTGTAAATATCAAAACTTCTCCCCGACTTAGTTACAAATTTTGTGAGTAGTTTTGGGTCAGGCACTGTTTCATAGTCTCAACCATGAAGGTTATTCTTTTGGAGGGTGAAATAAAATACTTGGGACTCTTACTAAGTTTGAAAGTAGAAAAAAGGAAAATTAATATGGCCAATATTATTAGGGTTTTAATTTCCATCAAAACTTGGATAGCTAATAAAATACACTGTTATGCAGGTTGCCAATCTGTATCTCATGTCAACTTTGCTGAAATTTAGCTCTGAGGTTTCCCTCTTCTTTTAGTTATATTCATTTCTTCATCCTGTCTAAAAAAAAGTGGATGGGTAAGTTAGGATCCTGGCTTTTATTTTAATAATTAAAGATTGAGCACTTTCAGATTTCTAGCTCCAATGTATTATGAGCCTGTGATAGAGATTTGCTGGAGAAACAGCTCCTGATAAACAACAATTTGTTTAATGATAGTGATATTCAAAAAAGCCTAAGACTGCTCCAGAATCACTGAAGGCTTTTCTTTCTGTAGTTGATTGCATTGTCCTTCCAAGTCAGGGTTAAGGCCACTGGCATGGTGAGCTCAGAAAAAGAACATTTGCTTCCAGTATACCTGGCTGGTGGATATATTCTGGAACTTAATTTCTACAGCTGTCAATCTCTTGAGCTTCAAAACACGAACATTGATCCTGGAAAAAAAGAGTTTTGTGGTTCAGTTTCATGACCTTTTTCCCCCAAAATGGGCCACTGATTAGAGAATCTTATATGTATTACATACATTGAAGATTTTAAAATATAATCAGAGCATCCGGAGGGACAGAGACCCCCTTAATGAAATTCTGGAGGGGTCTAGTTTTTTATATGCAAAATGTATTTCCCATCTCTGTCCAACATTGATTCTCTTTTTTCATTCTTTGTTGCTGTCTTATTCTCTCATAACAAGGCATGCCTGCCTTCTTGCATATATACAAGCATTTCAACTCCTTGTCTCTGCAAACCACTGGCTGATTTCTTTAAGTACTCAAACCAGGAGAGTGCGGCATGAAGTACACCTATCCAAATTAGCCGCTGCAAATACAAACATAGAGGTTCTAAATATTGCATTTGATCATTTTTTCTGTAATTTGCTGCTCATACGGATGCTTTGCATATGTTGATTAAATATGCACTTTCCACTGCCTGGGGAGCCAGAGCCCCTCACAGCAGACCAGTGTTATCTGGTCCCAGGAGACTGCAGCACTCCAGAGGGGCACTGTCACGCAGGCTACCTGCTTCAGCTTGTCTTAGCAACAATGATCGCCATATGTGAAGCTGCAGGAAAACAGATGCTGTTTTTCCATTTGTGAAATCAAGTTGTTGGAAAGTAGTCAGGTTTCCAATGTATGAAAGCTCATCTAATCAACCTACGGAGACAGTGTGAGCTTTCTCGGAAATATTTGACAACATTCCCTAGTATTGGTGACTAGAAACATATATGAAATCATAGTTCCAAAATGATAATCCTTTTCCCATACTTGTGTTGATAATATCTGTTTTGATGGCTGAAAAATGGAGTCCCTAACTTTCTCACAGAAAGAAAGCATGTAACCCAGTTTTCACTTACAAAAAGGGCTTCAAGGCACCATCTCTAAGTGTAAGAGAGATTTACTATAGCATCTTATTTTATTATATCAGTCATAAGTATCAAGGATTATTTCTCCCACTGATGTCCAGGAACAGGAATATGAGACATTCATAATCCCCTTTTTGTCAATTCAAAAGTAAAATTTCCACAAAAGCCCAGTAAGTTTTCTGTGATCCACCCCCACCTCACTCTTGCCCGTATCATAAGAACTTAATTACCTGCAGTTTGTGTAGCAAAATACTTTACTTTGGCTGCTTGGAAGCTCCTCTTCATTCATCAGATGTGACCTGCTTCTCCATCCATGCCCACAGCAAAGTATAGTTTGAAATTTGATTGGCTAGAATACATAGCATACAATGTCAGGAAGGAAAGAAATATTGGAGACACGTAGTCACTTACAAACCACATTGACTGTGGATATTAATTTATTTGCAATTAGTACTATTTTAATATTTTAATTTATAGGAAGAAATGTAGACAAAACCTGAATATGAGCAATATAAAGTTCAAATCCAAGGAACCTGGCTTCTAATCCTTTTTCCATCATTACTACCTGATTTTATCACAGCCTGAATTTGACTTTTCTATCTATGACATGTAAGTAATAGTGTATCAAAAAGTCATCATAATAAGAAATGCAGCAAATCTTTGAGCTAAAAATTTATGGAATCCCCAGGTGTTAATAACCTCTGCCTTTCTTCATTCATGAGTTTGTCCTGGGCAGTCTGTATCCTGACACAGGAGGTGCAACTCCCTGGAACGCTTATCTCCCTGAGATGACTAAGAAACCCAGTAAATAATGACTTCATAATAGTAAAAATATTACAAACACAAAAATTGCTATTTGTTTAGAAGACAAAGACATTGTGCCTACTTAAAGTAATTTAGGAGTTAGCATTTGAGCTGGGCTTTGAAATGTGGAAGTTCAACAGGATGAGGGTGTTTCCAAAGGAAAGAAACGGCACAAGTAGGACAAGGTTAATGGCAGAAGAGCACAGGGCATTTGCAGGGGGAGGTGTTTTAAGTTAATTGCCCAGAGAAAGGTGAAATTTAGTGAAGGAGAGCAAGGGGAAGACAGATAGTGAAGGGTCCTGAATGATGGTCGAATGAGTTCAGATGTGACTCTGAGCACTGGAAAGGTGAGATGGCTTTTCACAGCTGAGGATCAAGGTCAGAGCTGCACTTTGGCAGATCAACCTGAGACTTGCGTGTGGAGCATGGTTTGAGCCTACTGTGGACTAGCACTCCCCTTGCGTAGCAAAAGAGGAATGGACTATGGTGAAGTATCTTGCTGTCCAGGAGAAAAGACCAGAAATATGAAACAGTTATAAATAAGTGCCAGGATATAATTAAGCACTAAATTGTGTGATAACAACAATTGTTCTTGAACTTTATAGGCTACAAATCACTTTCAAAGTATTCTTCTCAGCCCTTCAATAAATACTTACTGAATGAATGAACAATCAGTTCTTTGAGGTAAGTAGAAAAGGTCAGGAATTTGAAAATCAGTCACATGGGCATAAGTGTATCTGGGCCTCAAAGTTGGATCTCATGGCACCTAATCTTTTGCTTTTTGTAGACTGATATGCAGGAATTAAAGGGAAAAGACATGTTGTTGAGTTCTTCTGCCTTTAGTTCACCAAGTACTATTGAGGGAAGGAAGAGAAAAGGTAGATTATGCTAGGCTATTAGCCCGTGAGTAAAAGTTAAATATTTTTGTGAACAAAGCATTCCATAAGTGGATATTTAATGACCAGATAGTGTGACTACTCGTGGATGTGACAGAAGTCTCTTTCCTTGAAGATTTGGGCACATAAATGGTACCATTTCTCAGTCTTTTTGGCAATTCTGACAGCCACCCAAGAGCCTTTAAATCAATTGACTTTCTACTTAAAGCAGCCAAAACTGATCTTGACTACTGAGAACCCTGACTGATACAGTAATTTCAGTAAATAGATGTGACAAAGCCCTGCAAAGTTTCTGTACTTAGTCAAGCATTGACCTGAAGTTCTGATAAGAACTCAGATCAGAGTCCTGGCTCATTACCTACTATGTCTCCTTGGACATGTTACTTAACCTTGATGAGCATATTTTATATCTATAAAATGGCAAAAACAATTTCTCTCCCATCTACCTTTATCAAACAAGTAGATTCATGCAAAATTACTCTGTCAAATGTAAAGTGGTTTATGCTATAGAAGTGAAAGGTATTGTTTTCCCAGAGTATGATAATTATTTTGACTTCATATCTCACCAGTTGGTGAGAAACTAATAAATATACTATTTTGAATGTTATTCTAAGGGGAAAAGTTAATTTCTTCCTGATTCTTATATTCTGCTATCTTCTTCTATGTTCTCAAGACACAATGGCTCAATACTATTCAAGAAAAGGGAGAAAATTCTCTCTCTTTATTCTTCCAAGTTTCTCTAAAGGAAGCTAAGAAGTCCCCAGAAAATTACTAAGCCATTCTGCTGTGTGATGGAGAAGCTAAAGTGTTCCTGGGAGCTTAAAACTCAATAAGGAAGAACAGCAGACATTGGGGTACACTGTATGGGGAACACAGAGCAGAAAACCTACAATTCAGCAACAGTGGCCTTTGCCAGTCTGTTTCCAAGGTGTTGGAAGACTGGCCAATGAGCCTGAGATGCACATGTGTGGTAGGCAAGTTCATGACCACCCCACTCATGTCATGAGCGGAAGACACTCACCTCTCCGGTCTGTCTTCTCTCCTCAGAGTTACAACCTCCTGCTCTTCACTTTTGACAGATACCCAGGATTGTTATAATGGAAACCATGTGCTGGAGATGTTTGTGGTTTGGATGGTTCAAGATACTCTGTGGGAAAGTGACACTTGCATTGGCTTTTGGCCACAGAGAAACATGAAGACTAGGCATCTAAGTTGATTGGCAACAGTTCCAAATTGTGCAAGCACCCAGGCTATGATATGACAGATGTTTTACTGAGAGGAATAAACAGACCACGAACATCTTATATCTGTAACTGGTAAATAGCAATTACCTCAAGTCTCACAATGACCCAAAATGTTGCTTGTAGAGGTTAGATAACTGAGAGTTGTTTTTATGAGCTATTCAAACTTATAGTTTTTATTTGTATGCATTGCAACAAATATTAAATGGTCATCTAGCATAAGTAGGCCTTGATGATATGAAGAAGAATTCACAGTCTTGTCCTCCTGGGATTTACAATATGGAGGATTATCCTCTATTAGCCTGAAAATTCCATGGAGTTGGCCTGACCTCTTATTTCTGCCTAAGTGGTAGAGAAGAGAACTTCTACCATCATGTGCATTTCGTGCCATTGTCTCTGCTTTGTGATGGCTGCTTTTGTTTGTCCAGTGTGGAGTCCCACATATATGTTATAGCAACGAGCATGTGCATGCACAGGAACCCCTGAAGGGATTGCTGAAATGTTTCCTTGTACTTCGGGATTTTAAGGCCGTTTACAAAGACGGAGGTTTCCTATCACTTTTACACCGCTGCCTCCCCCTCTGCTGGCCTGCTGACTTCAGGAAGCGAAGTCAGCGCCTGTTCAGGAATTGTGAGTTTACTGCTCCCTCTGCCTGGAACTCTCTTTCCCCATAATCCTTCCCCTTTATAATTTGCTTTCTCACTTCATTCCAGTCTGCTCAAATGTCACTTCCTCAGAGAGGTCTTTGCCCACCCCTGTCCAAACATCCTCTTCTCAGTGCCGCCACCTTTATTCTCACATTCTGCGCTGTTGCTTCCTAGAACTTAAAACTGCCTGACGTTATAGACTCCACTTATCTATTCCTGTTTCCTCCCCTGGAATGTAAGCTCCATGAAGGCAGGACCATCATTTTCTTTAGTTACCTAGAAGAGGGACTGTCACAAAAGTGTTCTATAAGTATTTATTGAATGAGTGAATCATTATATTTCATCCTCAGCAAAAATTATGAGATATTCTTAACCTTGGTTAGCAGAAGAGGAACCTGAGGTTCATAAAGGTGAAATTATTTTCACTTCAGGATGGTTAAATTATTTTCACTTTAGGATGGAATAGATCCAGAGTACAAACTCAAAGCCTCCTGCCGTCAAAGGCTTTGTTCATTCCTCCATAGTTCTTTTGACGTACATTCTTTGAGATAGTTCTTTAGACAAATACTTTAGACAGTTATTATCCAATAAATATTAATTGAAGAATAGATTTTAAATATATTTGAGAAAAATATCTCTATCCAATTTAATTCTATCATTTAAAATCTTAAGTAAAGAAATAACTTTTTCAAATCATCACATCTTCCACAGAATTTCTTCAGGAGCGTGGAACCAGGAGCACTACATCAGCAGCCAGGCTCTCTCCTTAGCTGCATACCCTCCATCTGCCCTGGTTTTACCATCCCCATTGCCCCATACTCTTGCCCTCAACCATAGTCTTGCATCATAATTGGAAGTGGATATTTTAAGATAAAAGCTGTACCTGGCAAATAAAGAAACATATTTGTTCTAAGTTTAATTAAATAAGTCTGGGCAGCCTTTTTGCAATATGGAGATTAACTGTCAAATTTATGTTAATATGATCTCAGAGAATGAAGCTGCTATAAAAAGTTTCTCCCCTCACCCCTCGCTTAAGCTCCTCATGTTGCCTCATTGACGTTTCCTTAAATTGGTAGTATCCTATTAAAATATTACCAGGTCAGTTTTGCAAGAACAAGGCAGTTAAAAATATCTAGCAAATTTCAAATGTTAGTTTAAAGATGTCAATACAAATAAGCTGAAATCATATCTATTATACAGAGAGAAAACTATCACAATGGTTGGGTTTTCGGCATCTCTCTGGGATCACTCAATGCCAAGCTCTCCTTTATCTGATTAACACAGGATTATAAAGATCTTCTGAGCACACTCAGTATAATACAAAGAGCCTTTCATTCCTCTGAGTATCCCCCTCCTTTTTTTGCGTGTGAAAAAGATGTGCCACCCAATTTTTTTATTTTGTGATTTCAGAAAAAAATGCTAACAGTTTGAATCATGAATCCTGTTGTGGGGACTGAGTTAATTAAAAACCTGATGTATACATACAGCTGATCCTACTCACCCTAATGAAGAACATTAATTCTAGGACATGTGTGGCTGTAGTCACATTGCTACAAATTACTAGACTCTTTCCTTTATGTGTTTCCAAGAAAGTCTCCCCCTGTTAGTTAGGAAAAAAGAAAAATATGACGCCTTAGTTCTGGGCAGCATAAATTACACGCATCAATCAGAGAAAGCTTAAATTAAAATACACATTTGGCAAACAAATATGAATATGTTGATCTCATCTGTGAATCAAAATGATTTAGTGCCAGCGCTGACCCCCCCACTGTTCAACATGAAGGTCGCCGTGAGCAGCTTCTTTCTCATTGAGAAATGTTTTTGTGCCTTTTAAGGATGCAATTTTATATATGCCCTAATGTTCAATCTAACTAGTGATTTCTATGTAGAGAGACTGATTTATTTTATAAAGAAAATACAGGCTCATTTTTATTTATGTAATCCAAAACAGATAGCTAAATTAAAATGTGGGGAAAAAATACAGTGGTTTATGGTTCCTGGGCTGAGGGTTCTCCAATGTGTTTATGATATTTTCTAATCTAGCAGAATACTGTTTGTGAAATGGAATGCTACACCTTTCCGATATGGAGTGATCATAAATCAGTCTATTCTTATCACCTACTGCATGCATTCTTGGGGCAGGAATAACTACTTGAGAGATGCCCATTACATGGCAAACCTTAAGTAGAGATGATCGTGGGTCTTTCAGGTTGCCATTTCTCAAAAATATCTGTAGGTGAAGCAGGCAGATTGAGTAAGGCAGTGATCGCCCTGGACAGAAGTGTGCGTGTTTTATGTTATGACATTTATTTTGAATATTCATGTTATATTTTCTTGCTAAGATTTCATTCTCATAACTACAAACCAGTATAATGATCCTGTCTGAGTTATAGGGAGGGGTATGAAATGCATGCCTTTGATAGTTGGGTTGCAACTCAATGCTGAGAACCCTCGCAGCTAAATGGAAGAAGGCAAATAAAATGAAGATAAAACTGTGCACAGTATGTACACTGTAGTCTGCAAACGTCACCTGAGGAACTTGTTAAAGTACAGATTCCCAGGCCTCACTCCACCAAATTCTCATTCAGGATGTCTCGAATGAGGCGTGGGATCTGTATTTGTCATGAGTTCTCTAGGGATTTCTTACTAAATGTTACTCTGAGCAAACTTTGAGAAAGACTACCAGAAAGATGAATGGGTCAAAAGAAAACCAAGTGACACATAATAGTTTGCTTTTAGCAGTTTGACAAAAGATATGAAGAGATTAAATTCCGAGTTGGGATGAGCAATTTATGCTCAAATTGCCACCTTAGACAGGAGAAAGCAGACTTCTAGAGGGATGTATTATGACAGTTGTTTTACATTGAGGTGTCTTTTGGGGGAGGAGTGCAAAGGAAACAAGGGTTATCATAGAAAGGAGCTGTCCAGAATAAGGCATCTTTTGGCTACAAAGCCAAACATCCAGCTTTTTAGCGAATTCCAATTTGAAATATTCAGTTCCATTATCCCTATACCATGCATACTGATTTTTGATTCAGGAAATGTGCTCACCATGATTCTCAGGCAAAATCTCATACCGATTATGGTTTACATTCTAGGGTACTAATAAATAAGCATGGAAACTTCTAGAAGAAAGAAATCCACTAAGGTAAAGTGAAAGAATCATCATTATGCTTTGGGAGGAGAGACAATAGTTTTGTCTATTCTACGATGCAAATGAGAAACACTGAAGTCTTCAGAAAAGTAAAATGATGTGACAAAAAGGATATTTGAGGAATACTGTGTCTTAGGGAAAAAAGGCTAAGTCAATTTTGCATAGATCCATGTTGATTGTTAAGATGGCCAAGATGAATGGATTGGTTGTGCCGCAGTCTGTTCGTTTGGCTCAGATAGGCACTGCCAAGAGTAACTTGGGTACAATTTTGCTCTATGCTAATTAGAGTTGGTCAAATGGTCCTCTGATGAATTTCCTCCCCTAGATAGAATTTGAGAGGATATACAACAACAAAGTAATTATCAGAGTGCCAATTATCCATAGGGGCATCTACACTGTATCCAGGGATATAGAACCTGGTCTCAAATTCTTAGAAATTTTGCTCCCCAACTAATGCAACCCCATTAAAAGTCCTCTTTTAGTGGGCACACAACCAATAGTGCATATGCTGATAGCATTTTCACATACAAATCTGATAGTTAGGCATGCCATTACCCAATTTACACATGCAAATGCAGTAATTGTGTGCTGTGGGTGCTCCGGAAACCTGGCACACACCCAAAATGGAGGCCTTTTCAAAGCATGGCCAACCCACCAAATTCTTCTTCCACAGCAACTCTCAATATTGTCTTACCTTTATTACACAAAGTTCTGTGGGGTTCTGGGAGAAAGGGTATGTGCTTTCTGTATTTCGCTGAATGATTGAAACTTTCTATCTCTATTTGGTTTGAACATTTTAAAATTCTCTTTCTTATTCTTCAATTAATTGACTGTAGACTTCCTCTCCTTTGTAGTAATTCACCATTTCATTTCTCTGCCTTAAAAAATCAACTCTAATTAGAAAGTACAAATTCTCTCATTATGACTTATTCTCATCTAGAACTTGAAATGGGAATGATTATGGGTTGTCGTAATAAGTGATTTGTACTTTTAAAAGAATGGAGATTACTGTTTACAGCTATGTGCACATGAGTTTACTCCAAGATGCATTTGATTATTCTAATTTACTGAGCTGCTACAGAAGCAGCACTTAACTATTTCCTGTTTCTTTGTTTACATATTTCAAATATTCTGGGGCCTCTTGACTACTCAAGCAGTACAATGCAGGCAAAGTAATTTAAGAAAGATAAATAGGATTGAGTATATTTGCTTTGCCAGTGTTTCTCAGAGAAGGGAAGTCTAAGAGTCTGACATTGATAATGGCAAGATTTTTAGATTAACCAATGATAGCAGATAGTAATGATAGCATAACAGAGGAAATTTTACCAAAAGTATAGAAATAAGGGATATTTTGATAGAAAAAATTTTAATTGGAAATTATAACTCTTATTTATTCATTCAGAAAATACTTACTGTGTGGTCACTACATTCCCTATATTGTTTTAGGTATCTTTTTAATTCTTTGCTCTTGTCTCATCTCTCTGAACATTCCATTTCATCTCTGCCTGCCCCTTAACCGATGGGATTCTTCAGAATTCCAGATTGCAGTCCTCAATCTTCTACTCATTTTACCATCTCTGAAGCCTCATCTTCATTTCTGACCTTCATATCTCTTTCTCCAGACTAGATTTCCCTTCTAAATTCCAAATCTGTATTTCCAGAAGCCTTTTCGTACTCCCATGTACATGTTCCACATGTACAGCAATCTCCACAGGTTCAAATTGGGATTTCTATCTTCCCCATACTTTGTGCTAGAGTCATCTTTGGGTCCTCTCTGTATCTTCAAACCATACATCCTGCTGGTTGCTGAGTTCAGTAGTACTGCAATTCAAAAATGTTCCATCTTGAATCTTGCCTTTCCATTCTCTTCCCACTGCCTGCCTGAGTTCAGGACACTTGCGGTAGTTTTATAATGTCATCAGTCTCTCCCCTAGGCTACTCTGTTCCCTCACTCTCTCACCAGGGTTGTCTCCCTAAAGTGCAATCTAATTATATAAGGCTTTGCTTAGTGCCTTTAGTTTCCCCTCACCATATACATGCTAGAGTTCAAATTCCGCTTTCCTGTTCCAAGTCTAGTTGCATTGCATCTATTTGATGTCAGTGAAAAACCCATCAACTTTCACACTGCAATGTCAATCCCCCTCTGTTGATATGTGCCTCCTCTTTATTAGCATTATCCTTCATTCTATGCTTTTTTTCTCTTCATCCTTCAAAGTCCATCTTAAACACCCCCTCCTTTTTGAAACTGTTATAGCACATATTCCAGCAACAAAACAAACTGTGCTTTCGTTTCTGCAATGATACTGCTTTGTAACACATTAATTACCTATCATTTTATATAATGGATGTTGAAAAATAGTTGTCTGTCCCCGCATTGAATTGTATGCTTCTTAAATTAGGAACTGTGTTTTACTATCAATGTCCTCAAGTCAAAGACCACCAAGAACACACCGACAGTTAAGGTTGGGTTTATCACTGTTTCAAAGAGGGAGGATACCATGGGGCATGCTGGAGTCTTAGAAAGGACTAATTATATGTAGTATTTGGGTTTGTATTGGGTACTGTTGGGAGTAATTAGGAAAGCAAGGCTTTGTTTTGGGTTTGACCTGACCTGAAGTGAAGGTAATTCTGACTGGCAATCTTAAACAATCTCAACTAGAAGGAGGAATATATAGGCTGAAGTTAAAGCTGCAATTGCTAAAGAATCAGTAGTTACATATATTAGCCATGATAGGAGAATGCTTGGTAAATTTTGTGGTTTAAAAAATTTTTATGTTTTATTTGTGTTCATACATGATTATGGTGTGTTCTTGCTTTTGTCTTGAGCCTTCATGGTCACAGAAGTGGCCTTGTCTGATATTGGCGTTCTGTGAAATTGTTAATGTTTAACTGGAGAACACTAGTGCCTAACTGTGAGTGCCAGTCCAGCTCCTAGCACTGCCAAAGCCTAACTGATAGTGCCAGGCCAGTTTTGAGCTATCAGGACCTGCTGGTCTTTTTCAGTCCTTCTTTCTGACCAAGGGAAGACAAAGACAGGTCATGGGATATTAATCTATGATATTCAGATTTTCTCCATTACCAAGATTTTGCTGATCAAGATCAGGAGGATGTCCAGAGAATGTAGCCTATCCTTATACAGGAGGTAATCTATCCTTTCCATTTATTGTAGGATGAGTTGTTGAGTCAGACTATGTAACAATGGCTGTGCAGCAGCATTTAAGACTCTGAATAAGATATATCAGATAGCTGTAACACATTTACCACAGAAGAATGATTATTAGTCCTTGTAACAAGTCTTAAAGCCAGGACTTTAGATTTATAACACCTATGCAATGAAAATGTGTACCAGAATCCAACTATGCATGTTATTTTTCTTAGTCATGGGTTATTTTACTTGCCATGAGACATACATAGGTCAGGCAAAGAAATATTTACTCTAGGATTCCGCCTCCTTAACTAGCTAAGGGAAAACCAATGGTTATTGAATTGTCCGTGACAATGCTGGGTAGTAAATTTAAAATTATTTATTGGGTTTCCAGGGCAGAATTTGTGTTGAATATGATGTTTGTATGAAAATTAATAAAGGAAACCTCAACTAAAGTTAGAGTCAAGAAGACCTGTAGAGGGAGCTCTCGTGCCCTACCATTCATCATCAGTTAGCCCAAACAGGAAGAGGGTACTTTGCATCTCCAACAGAAAGTTGCCTACTACTTTACTACCCCAGGAAGAGAAAGGAAGATTTTCTTCCTGCTGGCAACAAGCCCAGCCAATAGAAACCACTGCCAGTTAACCAATGAGGAGTCATCGCCATCCCTGAACTCTTGCTCTCCTCCAGTGAACTTTCATTTAGAATAGCCCCTCTCAACTCTCCCTTTTCTCTATAAAAGCAAGCTCCCCTCCCTTGTTCTCTGGACATACCTGTGGTTCACTGTAGTTTGTGTGCCCCCAACTGCAATCTTTTGCTACTCCCAAATAAACTCATTTTGCTGGTAAAATAACTGGCTATTTTATTTTAAAGTTGACATTTGTTACGACGAGAGACAAGTTTTAGACCATCTTTTAACATTGTATTATCCTCTCTGTGTGATCATTGTAGCTCACATAATAGCTAACAATTAGAATGGCTACATAGAATATGTCACTGAGTAGAAAATGCATAAAAGTTTGATGTTCATACAAGAAGTAGAGCCCCAGTGGGGCATGGGCTATATTGGAAGTAAGAATAAAATTTAAGATAATAGGAGTGAACCATTGTCTTTTGTCAAGGATGTAAGATTCTTGAGTTCCTTCAAAGCAGGCTGGAGTATCTCCGAAGAGAACAAACCAATTATTATACTAAGGGAGGCCCCAGTATTAATTTTCCCTTCTGATGGGCTAGGTTTTGCTGGTAAGATTATAATAACTTTAATTGACATGAGGTCAAAGTCTAGTTTTTATAAGACCGAAAAGTCAGGATTAAATAATGTGAGGTATACTTAAGTATTAAGGACTGTATACTTAAGTATTAAGAGACTGTAAAAGGGAATCTATCTTCTGAAGTGTTTAATAATTTAATAATCAATAAATTTTGTTGCCAATAAGTCAAATTCAGAACAGTAACTATTAATTTAGGAAAGACTGCCAGAGAGTTTGGGTTTTGATTTAAGTGGCAAAAGACCATAGGAAGTTAAATGACAAAGATAAGGAAGATATTACTGAGAAATTTTTTAGTTAGTTAATAAAGGATATCAAAGTGTAATAACGGGCAACATTAGTAGTGGAACAAAGGGTAAGAAAAGGGTGCTGAAGAATCAGAAAATTTATTTTATTTCATGGTCTTGCATGGAATCTACTATTGCAATCACCAGCTTGTTCCAAAGTTTTGGGTGGGAATTGTCTACATAAGTAGTTGTCACTTAGAGAAAATTCTTAAGAATCCTCAGTTTAAGATCCCTTATGGAATTGATGTCCAATAGTAAGGAAGTGAAGTATGTCTTTAAATTGATAACTGTTACCCCAGTGATCAATACCTTGGAGTTTTACTGTTATATTTAAGTACCTGCTAATTTACTTTTCATTAAGGCTCAAGGGCAATTTTTCTCTAGTGCCTTTTTCAGAAGATCAAATCTATAGATTTCAGATCATGCAGAGACTACTTGAGTGGATGTTTCGGAAATGCAGCTCATACCAATTAGTGACAAAGCCTTAGGTATCATATAAGTCTACTGCATTAATTAGTCATATCAGCTTGAAACAGAGTAGAATCTATGATGAAAGTAATTCTTAAAAACATGAGGTAGCCTGCTACTAATTTTGGAGATAACTTGTGGGCTCTACAGAAGATTTCCAATCCATGGGCAGATTGGCACTTCAAACAGGTAGAGACACAAGGTGTCTTAGATGTGCACACTATTACTGATCTTAGGGTCCCAGTCCAAAACAGTGAGATGTTCAGCTGACTCTTCATGGAACCTCCATTTCACTTCACTAACGTTCTCTAGTGTTTGTGAAGTACCATGCTTGGCATGTGAGATAGCAGGGTACCAAAAATAGACGATAGAATTTCCTCCATCAAGAGGTTTGCACTCCAACTGAGAAAACACAAACACACACCCCATATTAAATTGTATCATGATTGTGATTTGAAGTTGACTGTCTTTTTGGTGGACTGTGTTACAAGTCAGTGTAACCTTGCTCTTCATGAACATGGCACAGCTCTTCTCAGCATTTAACACAATTCCTTGTACATGGTAAAAGGTCATCAAACAGGTGTGAGTTTGATTTGACGAGGCAAATTCTGAACTGACAACCAAATACTAAATACTAAATATGAAATACTAAAGTTATGGGTTTTTTCTTCTTACTTTTTAAATGTTTTGCCATTCACATCTTACAAGAAAACTTTAGGGCTTTCATCTCTATCTACCCCTGAGAAATTAACTGAAAGTTAATTAAATAAATAGAATATTGCCAACCACACAAGTCCTGTGAAGACACAGAGAAAGATTGTTTTGTTCATTGGGCTCTAGCCTAGAGGGGCAGCAACTCACTCGTACCTTCTTGTCAGTAGCAGTAAATTGGCAGCCTCAACCTATTATATTTCTCTTGGGTGGGGGCTCTTACACGTTCAGTATTTGGATGCAAGTTTCTTCCATGGAAGTGTAACTAGAGAACTAAACTGCTACATTAGGTTCAAAATGTAGAGTCTCTCTTCAGAGATTTTAACTGGTTCATTTTCGTGTTGACAAATACCATCAGGGAAAACTGAGGCTAATAGCAAAGAAGAAAAGGAATTGCATTTTAAAAAAATAACTACAATGGGACTCATACTAGTGGTGTAGTTGCTCAGGGCCGATAGAGTGAGAAGACAGCATTATTTTTCCATCTTGAGGCTGAGACAGGATGTGCCATTGGGGCACACCTGGGCAGACAAGGACAGTTAATGAGACTCACTAGAGTGGAACAGGTTTGGTAGATGACTGTGGAGGTTCTTCTGAGTGGGCAAAGAAAATGTCCAAGGGAAATAGCAAGCTCAGCAGTGGTTCAGGCAACAAGTAGCATTGCAGTGTATAGTAGTTGCAGCAAGGTCACAACAACGAGGAACCGTGGCCCATGGATGAGAATCAGCAGGAGTCAGTCACCCTCCAGATTCACCCGAAGAGTGGCAGGCTCCAGTTACTCAATGAGTGCTCAAGGACAAAGCCTGCGCTGTTCAAACAAAAGTGAGACTAAAGCTGAAACCTTGCCATTGGGTACCTGTGGCGTGGAGAGCTGCTACTAAATGAAAAGGCAGTGAGAAGATCACTGGTCAGCGCTGGGATAACTTGATTTGGTGGCTGCTCCCTCTCCCACTATGGAGAGCTGAGGTTATTTGAATATGATTCTCTGCACATCATGATTGCCTCTGGGAACTGGGCAGATCTGCACATTCTAATTGTGAATCAAAGGCTTGGGAAATGAGGTAGGGACTGTCATCATGTAGCTCATGTACCTAAAATGCTACACACCTATTGAGAAAGATCTAATCTCTATGCATCCCACCTCCCACACACACAGCATCACCAGTCGTCTCATCAGAATGAAATAAGAAAACAGAACTATGTCATTATTGTTTAATAGCTTAAGAGTTCAAAAAACATAATCCATGGGGCTGGCCCAGTGGCGTAGTGGTTAAGATGCACCCTCCGCTTTGGTGGCCTGGGCTTCACTGGTTTGGATCCCAGGCACAGACTTACACACCTCTCATAAAGCTCTGCTGTGGTGGCATCCCACAGACAAAATAGAGGAAGACTGGCACAGATGTTAGCTCAGCGACAATCTTCCTCAAGCAAAAAGAGGAAGATTTGCAACAGGTGTTAGCTTAGGGCCAATCTTCCTCACACACACACACACACACACACACACACAAAACATAATCCTATGATATGCATTTCCTTTGAAATATGTATCCTAAAGGGTGGATATTGGTTTCCATATTTCTAGAGCATTAATTATGTGCATTTTGTTCTTAAAATATGAAAGACCAAATATCTAATAGAGAAGATTAATTGCACTGTAGAACCAGGTGATCCTGAGAATCGAGAACCTCAGGTTTGAAATCGAGCTTCTCTACTCATTTTGTGACGTTCCGTAAGTTACCCAATGTCCAAGTAGATAGAAACAAGTCACAAAGGTCAACAGAGCTGGTAGGAAAATGAAATATAAGGTTTGAGGATTTCATGTAGTTATAAGATGTTGGATACATTTTGCTCTATCCATAAGCTGCAAAGCTTGTCTGATTAATTTACTAGACCTGTGAAAATCAGATAAACCAGGTATCCTCTAGATAGAATGAGATAGAGAAATACTAAAATATTTCTTAATGCTTTAATTTATCATTGGCAAAGAGCTGCAATGTCAATCTTGAGAAATACTTTCTTCTTCCCTGTCAGTCTACCATTGATTCCTGATAAGGGGGTGATGCTGAATGGAAAGAAGCCTGATTTTGGTGTCAGGTAGATCTGAATTTGTAATCTTGTTATGCTCCTTCCTAACCGTGCAAATCTGGACAAGAAATTGGATCTGTCTACACCTCAATTTCTTTTCCTGTTAAAGGCAGACTAAAACAGCTATTGGACAGGGTTGCTATAAATATTAGAAATGATAAGTATACAATGCCTAAGACACATAGTGGATGCTTATTAAATGTAACTGTTATTTTAGGGAGAGAAAATAGCATTGAACAGAAGAAGAAAACGGGAGTAAGCCTTAGGTTAAATCTAGACTTCAGCACTCAGTACTTTAGAGAATTTAAGCTCGCTGAACCTCGATGTACTCCTCTTAAAAATGGAGACAATTATAACTAACTTACAGGCTTTTTTTTCATTCAATGCACATGGCATAGTGTGTATCACGTAGGAATCACTAAATAAATGATCATTATCATTGGCATTATTAATATTATATTAAGCTTCCCAATGGGAGCCCAGGTGGAACATGCTTACAATGATGTGCTGGTTAAAAAATGAGCTGATCCGATTTTACTGGCCTTATTTGACTTTATTTCTCTGTTTTGGTCTCCTCATTTATCCTTTTCCTTACAGATCAAATAGATATTAAATGAAGAGCTCAAAATTATTTTAAAAAACAATGTTGAATCCAAATTGCAGATATCTATTCAGTAAATCATGCTAAGTAGATAAGATTCTTATTTCTTCTTATTTACCTAAAAAAAACCCCAAAAGCTGGTTGTGTTTTGGCTTCAGAAAGCGAGATCTTGTAGTTGAGACAGGATAGAAATAGCCTTTAAAAGCTAAATGAAATGAATAGTCTTGCAAAGGGAAAAAAAGAGGAATTTTTCATGAGTCCCTGGAAACCAGCAAAAAAGCATCAAAACTGTTGTTTTCAGTAATAATTGTGATTACTTGGTTAAAATACCCCGTACGAGAAGCTTTCGATGTTTTTTGTGCCTCTACAAGGAAAATTAAAACAGAACACACAGCATTGGGGCCAATTTGTTTCCAAGGAAGTCAATTATTAATACTGTATTTAGTATTTAATGAACTAAGCCGATGTATGTGAAACGCTGCAGAGATCTCCTTACCAGCGGAGAACAGGTGTTGATAGAAGCTTTGCCCGTATGTTTACCAGCTGATTAGTACCCATTAAAATGATAATAATCTAATAAAAATTACTTTATGTCTAGTGAAAGTTGAAAGTCCCCTGTGTATTGGAGAATGATTTTTTTTCTATTGCATGGCAGTGATAGGATTGAAGTGACAAGAATCCACCCCCAAAGCAGCGTGAATGTTCTGAATTTCTATGCCTTAGACTTTTCACTTCAAGTGTCCCTTTCTCCAAAGGTTGACTCTGGCAGTCAGGACACTTCACTGTTTTTCATGGCTTCAAGGGAAGGACAGTTACCAACCCACCAAAATCCTCTGGCAATAGGAAAAGGAATCAGATCCTTAGTAAACGACACTACCTTGTCCATCTTAGGAGACCAGAGGAGAAACTATGGGTGTCCTGAAGGACTGTTCTGGGCTTTGGTTGTCCCAGACAGCCCCGAGCAGTTGCTAAGGAAACTCTGAGCCATCTGTGAGCTGGCAGTTTCCTGGGAAACCCTTGATTTCAGGCTAGCCGTAGTCAAAATTGTTATGAATGTGAGGTCACATCATCCCCAGCCTCACACTTCTGACCCCTTCTCTTCATGACGTGCTCCACTCATTCTGTCTCAGCTGAGCCTTGCACACTTTACTCTTGCTCTTCTACCAAAAGCTGAACTCAGGAAATTTTCAGGAATTTGGTTATACGGTAGGGTAGAGACTGAAAACTAAGGGTTATTTGCGTTGTAACAGCATCAAATTCCTCCAACTGATTAAGGGTCTCCTGGAGGAAATTGGGGCATTTGGCCAAGTACAGGTGACACATTCGCCTGCCTCATTTACCTGTAGCTTCCAGGACCCGGATTACTACACAATGGAGTGTATGTCGTTATTCCTTTTGACTTCTTCCTAAAAGTATTGATGGAAACATAGTAGAAAGAATGAATTTTGGAGGTAGAAATGTATTTTTTTACTGATTTATTTTAATAGTGATGGGGACCCTATTGAAATTTGCAGTATAGAAAGAAGTCATAGGAGAAAAACCAGATGATTTCTGGAAATAAGGATTTTGTAGAAACTGTGAATAAGAAATAAGCATCTTAATACTAATGCCAAAGTCTGTCCTTTGTTTATGTGTTCTATAATGTTGAGACTGTTCAGCATTCTAAATTGCTTTATACTTCAGATTAACGTGAGGCCAGAATGATTTAAGGACTATTTTGGTCTTAAAAATAGAAATCTCCACATTTAAAACAGAAACACAACCTTTAATTGATTGGCAAAAATAGGGTTCTTTTCAAAGGAAGACTTGGGCAGGCCCCAGATGAAGGCAACGAAGAGCAGCCTGGTTCTGGAAAGGGAAGTCAGCAGAATTGTTCTGTTGATCTATCCTCTGCTTTTCTGGGCTGCTACAGGAAACAGACTTCAAGGAAAAGGTCATAGGTCACCTGGGGCTCTGGGGCTTAAGGCAACCATGCAAAAATCTAGACGGCTCAGAATCTTTCTTTCTCACAAAGGACACATTATGAATTGGTTCCTGTATGTGTGTACATTTGTTTCGTACCCAGTCACCATGCTGGCAGAAAAGTATTGCTGTTATTTCTATGAAGGAAACTTTGAAACTTCATAGTTTTTCTTTGCCATGACTGGTGACTTTTAAAATTCAGTGAAAACCTCTTGATCTAGGCATTGGACTTGAAAATTAGAGACTTAATTGGGAACCAAAAAGATATAAGTCCCAAGACTGTAAGTTGGCCACTTTTGGAAAAATACACTTTAGAAAGTGTGATGAATGATTTTTTTGTGCTCATATTCCTTCATCTTTAGCCCAGAAGATACTGAGCTGGTACCGAATTAACAGTTCTTAGAATGAACTTCCGCTTGATCTCAGGATAGCAGCCTAAGCAGAAGGAGGAGGAAATCTGGGGCAAATGATTACAATAGCAGGAACTGTAAGATAAAATTTGATGCTATCTTTTCAGCACTCAACCAATTCAGGTCTGAACTTTTATCTCTAATTTGTGATTTATTTGGCAAATTCATGCAAATAAGTCCCCAAGTTATCTGTCTATTCTTATTTGTTGTCTGTCCAATACATCTGGATGAAAATATAATTACAGTGAAATCACAACAGTGAGCAAGAAGCCTCAAAATCTCATTAAAGATAGAATATGCTTCCTTAGGAAAATTTGTACAAAGTATTAGGATTTAGTGTATATAGATTGAGTTTAAGTTACCTAAGATTGTTTAGGGAACTGATTTGAACAAGTGCTTTATGGATAACAAATGGAAAGGAATAAGAAGGGGCTTTTATCAAGTCCCCTGGATATGCTGGAGTGATGACTTCACTACTCTGTGAGTGGTAGAGGAGGAGTAAGGAAAGGGAGCACCCCCCAGACCACAGGAGCTCTCCTTGAGCCCAGGAAGAGTCAGTGGATCTGTTGTCTTCCTCGGTGCACTGTAAGACTTGACCAGGTGGCTACAAGTAAAACATTGTAGGGCACAGTTGACTATTTACTGCTGGCCCTTTATACAAGGCCAATCTATCCAGAGGCTATTCCATGGTTCTCATAAAGGAATATACAACTATGAACACTTGAAAGAGAACCCTCTGGGATCTCTATTCCTAACTAAGTGATGTGACTTACTACTGGCTGCTGGATCTTTTGGCCTTCATGATATGTGGACACCACTTCTGATTTCTTGGGCCTTAATACTCCTGCCCAACTTTTGATCTTGTCCACTTTTGTACTGGCATCCTTTGTAGTTTTAGGTAAGCTCACCCTACTCCAGACTCAGAATTTTGCCATTCCTGAAGAAGGAGAGTTATACAGATATGATGTAGATTAGTCCCCCTAGCTTAACCGTAAGGCTTTAGGCAAGTTCTAGAGACACGCTGGGTAACACAATGGCCATCATTAATGCTGAGTATCATACTTTCCATCATTTGGCTTCTAGAGGTGATGGAATAGGGACCCAGGGTTTTCCAGAAACCAAGAGTAATTCTAAAAGGCAAGACCTTAAGGGACATCCTCTTCTTTGGCCGTCAAAGCAACCGGAGCTGTCACTGGGATTAGCAGACAGAGGATCATGATGGTGAGTCCTTTTCTGTTAGAAGGGCCAGGCTGTTTTGACAATCCTAGTGAATCTTAGAGGTAAGCTGTCCCCTCAACCAGACTCCTTGGGGTGGGACTTTGTAGCTCTATGCAATCTCCATAAAAATCTCACCAGTCCACAAATCAATAGTGAGTATTGTGGAATTTTCTGGAGATTTTATCAGGGACATATAAAAGGGGACTTACATCAGATGTACAACAGTGAATCATTTAAAAATGCCCATTGGACAAATTTGTTTTCCACACTTTCATCTTCCTTACTGGGACCCACAGGAATTTTCCTCTCTGTTCTTCCATCACATAGTGTCCAGGTGCCTTCTCTGGGTTCCCACCCTCCCCTATGTATTATGCAGTTACCAAGACCAGTCCCCCTTAGACAGCAATGGTGAGTTACAGAACAACAGAAACAAACATTTTTATTACACCGGAATAAAATCCTTGCGAAGGAGAAGAGACAACTTCCATGCACAGGGTACCAATTATTCCTCTTTGCAGCTCTGGGAGGCAGGAATTATTCTCCGGTTTAGTGGTGAGAGAACTGAAGTCCAGAAATCTCTACAGTTAGTTTGCAAAAAGAGGTGAAATAAAACTCAAATCATATAATCCCAAGTCAGCGTTATTTTTGTATCCCACAGGGAACCAGGCATTCTTGGACACTTAACATCTAAGGGGAGGGAAGAGATTGTTGGCCTTTCATTATAATCCTAACTGCAAAAAGATAATAAATTTTGACCAGAATGAGTTCAGAGGACCTGATTTAATCCAGCTATCAGCTTTCCTGGAAAGGATGTGCTCTGAGAAAGGAAGTGACCAAGCCAAAGGAAATCGGGGACTCTTGCTTAAGAAAGAAGAGCCCTCACACAGAGTGTTTTTCTATAACTTTCTAATTCTGTTCAACTCATTTTGTCAGCAGGGGTTCTCTTTAGCTATGAAACGAGGAAGAAGAAAATCTTCTCTTAACAATAATATACACGTGCCATGAGAGAGATGAAGCAGAAGATTAAGCAAGAAACCCAGCTATTTTATTGCCCTAAGGCATTACTCATTTTCCTGACACATTATGTTTTTAATTAAAATTGCATGTGAGTTAATTAAAATATTCACTCAGGCCCTTTTTTCCCTCTTCCTGCTTGGGTTCCTTGCTACTCTTTTAGCTTTTTGGTAAAACTCAGTTTCATTTTAACTCAGGTGCCTTTATCAGCTGCAACTTTAATAAAGAGTCTGTATACTGAGGTAACTAAAAAAATAAAATCTAATTTTAAAAATTCACCCCTAAGTGACCAAGGTAAAGGGATGTGGCCAGGAGTGAAATCATTAAGTCTTTTATGTTCTTCCCTGCTTATTTAATCAAAAACATGAAATTATCATTGATAGAAAGTGTATTCAGAAGAAGTACTGTGATTTTTTCCTATGCCAGGCGTGTTTTTCTTGTTATAGACACGTTTATCCATCTACAGTCCTTTGTTCAGGAAAGGATCATAGCTTATGGCACCTACGGTTGTGTAACCTCAGCTTTCCCTGATTACAGCTGATTATTAGCCTTTAGTGGACATCTATCCAGTTCAACCTATCAATGGATCAGTAACCCTGAGAAACAAAATCCCTCTTGTGTAGACACTCAGAGACCTTGGTTACTGATGAGTCCATATTGGATCTGTGAGGACAAATAGGCCAGTACTGGAGGCCATATTGGGTCGCTTGTAAACAAAGGAAGAATAGACAGGAAGAAGCAGAGATAGTTGCAGCCACGTGGCTATGAGACAGACAAGAGAGAACCTTCAGTTTCAGTGTCTTCCCCATCTACTTCCCTTGAGGCCTGGCTGAGTCCTTACTGTATCCCTGAGATGGCTTTTTTTTTTTTTTGCAAAAACCCCTTTTTAAGAGTTAGCTAAAATGAATTCTGGATCCTTGTAAACAATGAGCTCTAACTAAAACATCTGTGCTTCAAAACTCCATATATTCCTAAGCAGCCCTGACAGAGATAATATTAAAAAGCAAAACCATAAAATGGGTAGTAAGAAACCAGTTATTGCAGTTCAAGAATATATAGGCTGAAGCCGCCTGGTCGAAGTGAAGTCCAGGAGAGAGAAGAGTGTTTTTTCCAACTGTAGTAGAACCCCCTTCGTGAAAAGTTTGGGAAAAATCTGTTTCTGTTCTTTTTTCATTTTTTTTCCATCTCCAATGATGTTTTAGTACCTTAAAATGTTAATGAGTCTGAGAAACTGGTACCCTGGGCAGCTACTTGCGACCCACTTGTTAATTTATCTCTGCTACCTAGATAAGGATCTCAATGTCTTTCTCCCTAGATTGGATTTCTAAAGTACCAGAATTAGCCCAGATGGGTGTGGTGCTCGCCTAAGTCTGACGTTGCAATCCATTAATCTTCTGAACTCTTAAACCTCCTTCACAGCTTAAATTTCATGGTCTATCATTATAATTCCATCTCAACTCTTTATGGCAAAACCATGTTTGAGGGTTAAATCCGTATCTCCACCAACTTCTTGCCTACATTTGGACAGTATGTAAATGGAGGAAAATTTACTGCTATTCTAACTGACCTCCAGAAAGCAAAATTATCAGCTGAGAGTGAGTATGGTAAAGATAGAAATACATATTGGAGATTTGGGGCATGACACTCACCTATCATATTTACTTTCGTACCTACATTGTACCTTTCATATGCCTGCATAAGTTGTTTATATGGATGAACTGGCAATGCTCCTACCTATGGTCAACCTCTCCACATGTGCAGTAAGTAGATCTCATTCTCTCTACATGAGGATATTGCTTCAAATCTCCCTTCTCTCTTACATTATCAATTTGCCCTTTCTTCTGGGGCTACCTCATCAGCATAACATCTTACTGTTATTTCTCCCATCTTCAAATTCTTTCTTGATTGTTCTTTTCCCTTCAGCTGTCATCCCTTCATTCTCTTTCCCTTAATTGATGAACTCCTTGATGAAATTTACTGAACTAGTGCTTCCTGTTCCTCTGCCCTCATTCCCTCTTGAATCAACTCCATTCGGACTTTGGCCCCTACCCATTCCATCAAAACTCTTGTTATCAAGCCTCGATTGGCCGTTGCATTTCTAAACACAATGCTCAGTTTGTAGTCCTTAGCAGAGTTGAGCACCTCTTCCTCTTTCATCATCTGGCTTCCAGGACGTCATACTCTCTTGGTTTTACCATTTCACTAGATCCTCCTTCTCAGTCTCCTTTGCTGAATATTATTCTCCTCTTAATGTTATTGTTCTTCAGGACTTAGTTCTTCTTATCTCTATCTACAGTAGACTCACCCCTGGTGATATCACTGAATCTCATGGTTTTAAGTATAATTTCTATACAAATGACTTTCAGATTTATATCTCTTGTTCAGACATTTCTCCTGAAATTCAGACCTCTACTTTCACTTGCCTACTTGACATCTTCATTTGAATATCTGTTAAGAATCTAATACTTCAGTCTAAAACTCAACTCCTGATATTCTACCAACTAATTGCTTTTATCCATAGCCTTCTCTGTCTCACTGGAGGGCAGCTCTATTCTTCCAGTTTCTCAGTCCAAAACATTTGAGTTCTCTAAGATTCCTCTTTATCTTTCTTTCCTGCTTATAATAATTATTTTATAAGATGCTATGTCCTTTACCTTGAAAATATTTGTCCAGAATCTGACCACTTCTTGCTATCTCCACTGCCACCACCACCATGTCTATCGATCATGATTATTGCACTAGCCTTATAACTGGTTTCCCTGATTCTCTGTTTGTGCCTCTACTGTCCATTTACAACAGAGCAGCAAGAGTGCTTCTTTTAAAATGTAAGTGAAATTGTATCATTCATCTGCTAAAAATCCTGCGATGGCTCCCTATTTTACTCAGAGGAGAAGCCAAAGTCCTCACAATGGGTAACAGGGCCTTGCATATCTCACTCACTTCTAGACACAATGACCACTTTTCTGATCCTTCAAAACTCCAAGAACACTCTTCAGTTCCTTCAGCTTTCCTCTTAGATATGCACATGCTAATCTCCTAACCTCATTTAAGTCATTGTTCAGAAGTCACATTTTTAGTGAGTCTACCCTGACCGCCTATTTAAAATTGCAGTCTCCCATATCCTGATGCCTCCTAATCTGCTCTTTTGTTTTCTATAGAGCTTATCATCTTCTAACATACTATATGATTTACCTTTTTAATATTTGTTTATTCTGTTATTATTCTACTGATCATCTCTTACATATGAAAATGTAATCTCCCTCTAAAATTAGGGGTTTGTATGTTTTTTTGCATTAATATTTTTGATCATCTAGAACAGTATGCCTGGCATATAGTAGGTACACTTTCAACAAAGCTTGAAAACCAGCCTTAAAAGTATCAACCTAATTTGTAAGTAAACTCATGCCCTGGCAGACAAATCTTCATACTCTTTAAAGGAACACAACAGAATCCAGACACAAAATCCAGACAACAAAATGCAAACACTGGATATCATAGCATTTATAATACCTAACATCTAATTTTTTAAAACTACTGTACTTACAAAGAAGTAGGAAAATATGACCCACAACCATGAAAAAAGTCAGCTAGTTCAAGGCAAATGTGTAAAAGAGAAAAATGGCTTTGGTGCTTTCTTCCTGTACATTCAGTGAAATCTCACATCTCAAAGCTTTCTAAGCTTGCAACATAGCCCCCAGCTCACAGTGCTCAGAGCTTCACACAGCAGTGCTCTCTCTTCTTTCTCTTCCTCTATATGCAACTTAACTCATTTGATCTGTCTTTATAGTATTCTTTTTTACTTAGTTTCTCTCTCCTGTATATATCAAGTTTCAACTGGCTAATCTTTTAATCTAATATATTATAACGAGGAAAGGCTAAAGCTACAAAAACTTCCCCATGTCTATACTACGTGGGGCCTCTCTTTACCACACCATGGTATTGTCATCTTACTCTAAATTGTAGAAACTTCACTTGAATAGAGGAAGAGTAATTGATTAGAAAAGTTCACTTTGAAGGGAATCTCATGGAACCACCGATGGATAGGGTGGATGCCTACTTTGAATTTCATTTCTGGGGGCCAAACCAATCATTATTGTTGTTACTGGGGCACGAGATCAGGGATGGACAGGCTGTGATGGTGATGGGAAGCAAAATCACCAAGTATTGGCCAGATTTTCTTAATTTTCTCCTGCCTTAGATTGGGATTGCGGTGCTTGAGACTGATGTGGGGTGCACCCAGCAAGAAGATACCAAGTAACCCCAGATGGAGGATGAAGTGAGTAATAGATTCAAGGAGTTAGAGCCTGACAGGAAAACATCAGTATTTCTGAACAAAAAGAGTGGAAAAGTCTTCGGTGAGCTGTGGTTACTCGGTTTATTTTAAAACCTCCTGGGTATTTACACAGAGACTCTCAGCCTCCGCAGCGCAGTGTTTGACTTATCTTTGGAATGATCATTTTATTTGGAAATATTGACTCTTGTAACAAAACATTTAATGTTTAGTTTAACCTAAATTATGTTAATGTATTTCTTTCACAGAATCAGATAACTGACTACCTAATTTTGCTGAAAAATTACCACTTCTTTATTTTTTTAATGATTTAAACTCAGCAGGCATCTCACCTCAGAAATAGCAAGACATTATTTAATTTTTAAAGTGCTTTACTGTGACATTTTAGGCATTTTGAAAAGTGCATAAAAGATAAGGTTACCTGACAGTACGGCTGTTTCACAACATCATTACACTGATAACTACCAGAGCCATTTCATTTGCATGAAACCATTTGATTATGGCATTGGGAATCAAGTGATACTGTATCTGGAACCATTTGTGTATGCTATTTATTTTAGCATAATGCATATTTATTGGTGTTTTATTCACAACAAGTCACATGTTAATAACAGTTTAACAGGCTTCAGAGCATTGCCTTTTCTCATGCTCAATAACAAGTAATTCCACAAGGTACACATATTTATGAAGGGCCCCTAATCATATACACAAAGCAACGTTTCTTCCACAATTGAACTGATACTTATGTGATACAGTCTTCTTTGTAGGGTTGCCAGATTTAGCAAATTAAAATCCAGGTCATCAAGTTAAATTAGAATTTCAGATAGACAATGAATAAATTTTTAGTATAAGTATGTCTAATGTAATATTGGAGACATACTTATACTAAAATATTATTTATTGTTTATCTGAATTTTAAATTTAATTGGGCATCCTATATTTTGTCTGGCAACTCTACCCCTTTGTGCTAGAAAGATGAACTTGCTACCTACTTTTAAAAATATTCAACCGCAGATATTTCAAGCTAGTACAAATCATATAGAAATTTCACTTCAGTAACATGACATTTACAGATACCTTAAGCCATCAACACCCCATCCCCAACAAATCTCCTGCCATTTGAGTCTTGGATGTTGCTGGAGAGAGCTGGGTGGCATTGCTTTCCCATAAATTACATCTACTGAATTACATTATGTGGAGGAGCCTTTGGGATATAAAAGGATTTCGATCCTAAGAACTTCATTAATCCCATGGGGAGTTTAATTATTTTTTTAAAACAGCGATTGCCTGAGGTGGCTCAGCCCATCAGATTGGGTTGTTGAAAAACAATCATGCCCCTGATAGGAAACTCACCATCAGTGTTGATGGAACCTGGCCTGATGATCTGGCCCTGCCAGGGAAGCCAAGTTGCAAGAGGGGGGTGCATGCAGATTCTGGATTGTCTTGACCCACTCTCCCATAGATTGTGTGAATTCTCAGGATCTTTACTAATTGCAGCAAGAGATGCATTTAGAGTAGCTCCTTGCTCAGACTTCCTCTTGGTGCACAGTGACACTAGCAGACTGCCACTGACAGCCAAGTGATGGTGGTAAAGGCAGTTGAAGACTTGTAGGTGAACTGATGGGAAGCTAGTCTAGACTTCTTACCCTTTCTTCTCATGCCCGACTTTGTGCCCCGGTGCTAATCCCCACCTCTTATTTTCATTGAAGATATTTGGAAGTGAGTTGTGGATGAAGAATACAATTGCATCACAACTGCATTGTGTGGCTAAACTAGTGATGTAGAGGTGGATGCTGATTCAGATCTACTGCCAATGAACGAACAGCCCTCTGTGTCCAGGAGCTGTCAACACCATGTACCTCTGTGTGTGATTTGTGGATGATTTGTGTGCCTCTCGCCAACAGAGTTCATAAACTAAAGATTAATGAAAGGAAGAGGCAACCCGTTGGGGGCAAAGCGCTGGTAAAGCAGCAAGGTCTTTTGCTTGTTGGAGCTGGAATAACCAGGAGGATTCATCATTGTTTCAGCTGACTTTGGTGTCTGGCCAAGCCAGAGGCACTGACGGCAAGCACATTTGGCTTCGTCTCCTCCTCTGCTACCCCTGGTGCCCAGCAATCCTGCCACCACTGCATAAGTTGTCGCCAGACTGAAAACCAGTAGTAGAACTCCTCCTTCTTCCTCCTTCTTTGCTATTTTTAGAGAAATCTGAATAACAAGCTATTCCCCTCATTTATTATTCTTGATGAATGGTAAATTATTCTAATAGCATTGACTTCTATTCATTTATTATTTGAGGATGATTAGAAGTGAATAGCTGTTACAAAGCCTCACCAGTTCCAAAAATTAGACCTTGGAATTTTGTGTTTCCTTTTGACTCTGAGTAATTATCTTTGTTGCTTCCTCTAGTTCTGTCACACACACCTCTTTCTTTTTTTCTAGTCATGGTCTGTTTTGAGTCCAGAATCAGGATGGCCAGTTCTTAAAAGTTTATCCACAGAGGTGATGAATGAGCTTCTGAAATATGATTTCCCTTAGACACACAGGGTTTTAAAATTATATTTAAATTCAACAAGGTCCCATAACTCACTCACAACTGTGTTATTTAAAGGTACAGAATACTATGTAAGACACAGCTTACAGATGGCAACAGAGGTATATGATAGGATAAATCACAGTGCTTTTTACAGAATAGACTGTGTGGTTTTAATCTGGGAGTAAAATAACATGTAGGATGAAAAAATTATTATTCTTATTTTTGGATAATGAGACTTTTTATGAACCCCTCTAATCTGGGCATTGGAAGCTGCAACCTACCTCCTCAGCCTTATCTCCCTCACAGCTCTCCAAACATTCTTTACCCAAGTCAAAGTGGACTCATTGCTTTTCCTCAAAGATGACAGCTTTCCCACAATCTAAATTATCTGCTTTTCTTACCTCAAATATTTTTTTTAGTTTCTCCACACCACCTCCCATTCTCCACCTGTGAAAATTTAATTCTTCCATGAAGGCTCACTTTAAAGCCCTTCTTTAATCCCCTCATCTCAAAATATTTTCTCCCTTCTGTAATACTGTCGTCTTCTTCTGAAGGACTCCATTCACAATTGCCTACTGTCATGTATCAGGACAGATTCAGGTTTTATGAGGCTTCATGCTTACATAATTTGGGGGATCTTTTCCAGGAAAATAAATATGAAATTACAGATACAACTATAGATACAAAAGGGAATGTTTTTGGGTGATACCAGTGTAAAGGGTTGAGTAAGAAACTCCAAAAGTCTACCCCTTGATAAGAGCAACAACAACGGCAACAAAAAAAAAATTGGAAAAATTGGCAGAATTAATATTTTTTGAACTTTGAAAGCTAACTAAAAGCTTCTGGCAATCCAGGGAGTGCTTTTTCAAGAAAAGCACTGAGTCTTGGTAAGAACACTGAGGTTTGTGGCATTTTAATTTACAGGTATACCTCAGAGATATTGTGGGTTTTGTTCTAGACCACTGCAATAAAGCAAATATCACAATAAAGTGAGTCATGCAAATTTTTTGGTTTCCCAGTGTGTATAAAAGTTATCTTTATGGTATAATTTAGTCTATTAAATGTGCAATAGCATTATGTCTAAAAAGACAATGTACATACCTTAATTAAAATATCCGTTATTGCTAAAAAATTATAACCATCATCTGAGCCTTCAGTGAGTCATATTCTTTTTGCTGGTGAAGGGTCTTGTAAAAAACTCAATGTCTGTGAAGTACAATAAAGTGAAGCTCAATAAAACAAGGTATGTCTGTACTCTAGTCTTATCCCCAGCTCCTTAGCTCAGTGTTAGACTTGAAAATAACAGCCCACATTCCCATTCCCAGTACTGGTACTGGAGGGAGAAGAATGGACTTTATTTTGCAAAGAATTGTTATTATTTGTTTTGACCAATCTGATTCAAAAGGCTGTCTTTGTCTCACCTAATTCAGAATGTACCCAGTGCTAAAGCTGCAATGGGTGGTGGGTAGGGGTATGAGGTTGATGTTGGTGCATTTGTTGAAATCATTAACAGCAAATGATTTAGTTGTTCTTGTCAGAGACAATACATAACTGTCGGAGCAAACAATAGACTAACCAAAAAGCTTGGAAGGAAAGGCGAGGGCATTGATGAGATGTTTTTTAAAGTAACAGCTTTGAAAAGCTCTGAAATATTCCTGAGAATCAAGAAGCCCAGACACATGCACAGGGCTATGTGCTTGCTCAGAAAAGACCCGAGAAGATTTTAAGCTCTCACATCTGGCTGACCATGGGGCTATGTGCAAAAAGAAAGTGAAGCCTAAGGCAAAGTTGTAAACTGCTTGGAGAAGTGTTGAATGCATGCCCAAATAAACACAGAGACCCTGTGCAAAGATGAGGAGATATTTTGGGTTCAAAGCACTTAAGGAAATCTCTGTTCAATCATTAGCTGACCACTGAGCAAATGGAAAAGAGATTTTAGTGGTCACACATGGCAAATACAGACTTTACAGAGTCTGATCAGAAACAAACAACAACTGCAACAAAAAACAACAACAAACCTTGGGAAGGGGTTAGAATTTGACTTTCAAAGTTCTCACATTTTACTATTCAAAATATCCAGTTTTTGTCAAAAAAATTATGAATTATGCAAAGAAACAAGTAAGTATGACCTAGGGACAGGATAAAAAACAATCAATAGAAACTTTTCCTGAGGAAGTCCAGATGTTGAATTTAAATCACCTATTTTAAGTATCTTCAAAGAGCTAAAGGAAACTATGTCTAAACAAATACAGGAAAGCATGAGAATAATGTCTCACCAAATAGAGAAATCAACAAAGAAACAGAAATTATAAAAGAGAAACCAATTAGAAATTCTGGAGTTGACAAGTAAAATAACTGAAATGAGAAATTCACCAGGGCTCAATAGCAGATTTGGACAAAAGAAACAATCAGCAATCTCAAAGATGGGTCAGTTGAGATTTTCTGTGAAATC